GCTCTGTCACCCAGGCTGGAGTGCAGTGGCGCATCTCGGCTCACTGCAATCTCTGCCTCCCAGGTTCAAGTGATTCTCTTGCCTCAGCTTCCTGAGCAGCTGGGACTACAGGTGCACAGCAGCATGCCCGGCAAATTTTTTGTATTTTTAGTAGAGACGGGGTTTCACCATATTGGCCAGGCTGGTCTCAAACTCCTGACCTGAAGTAATCTGACCGCCTTGGCCTCCCAAAGTGCTGCGATTACAGGCATGAGCCACCATGCCTGGCCTGACATCCATGACCTCTTCCAGCCCCATGACATATGCCTGGGGCTGTAATCCAGCAGTTTGGGACATATGACAGCTCTTTTGTTCACCAAAAGGTCGTCTGGTGTTGTGTTCCAGACAGTGGAGTCATGGCTGAATCTCTGCCTTTGTTATGTGACCCTGAGCAAGTCATACCTTTCTTCAAGCCTCTGTGAATGGGTTAAAATTAAATAAAATTCAAAATTCAGTTTCTCCATCGAACTAGCCACGTTTCAAGTGTTCGGTAGCCACATGTGGCTAATGGCTGCCACATTGGACAATGCCAAATGGGACCATTTCCGTTACTGCATAAAGTTCTTTTACACAGAGCTGGTCTAGACTCCAGACACTGCTCTGGCCACTGCACCTAGGAATTGATGGGGTCGGGGGAGGGGGGCGATCTTGCAGTAAATTCCCCACATGGCCAGAGACTTGGGAAGTCAAGGATTGGGGTGCAGAGGAAAGGCAGTGCGTGGGGAAGGGCTCTGACAGCCCCCTTTCCTGGCCTGGCAGATCCTGACCATGTACCACAAGTCCCCAGAGTCCTGGGAGGACAACTGCAACCTGTACCACCTGAATGTGACTCTCCACAGTGTCTTAGAAGGTAAGCCTGGTGTGGCTACAGGAGGAGCAAGGGTAGAGTTTTAGGAGAAGAAGTTGGAAAGGTGATGGGGTAAGATGGTGTAGGGACTTGTTAGCCACAGTGAGGACTTTGGCTTTTGTTCTGAGTAAGGTGGGGCATGGAAGGTTCCAAACAGAGGAGGGACGTGACCTAGCACAGGTTTGCACAGGCTCCCTCTGATCTGACCACTCTAGAAGGTGAGGGTGGGAGCCAGGTGACCAGGAAGGACGTGACTGCATTGGTCCTGCAGGAGATGACGGAGGCCAAGCCAGATTAGGGACTCTGGAGACTATCAGATATTAGTGGGCCAGGCACAGTGGCTCATGCCTGCTATTCCAACATTTTGGGAGGCTGAGGCAGGAGGATTGCTTGAGCTCAGGAATTCAAGACCAGCCCGGGTAGCATAGTGAGACCCCATCTCTACAAAAAATTAGCTGGGCATGGTGATGCATGCCTGTGGTTCCAGCTACTCAGGAAGTCGAGGTGGGAAGATCACTTGAGCCCAGGAGGTGGAGGCTGCAGTGAACCATGATTGCGCCATTGCACTCTAGCCTGGGCAACAGAGTGAGACTCTCTTTCAAAAGAAAGAAAAAAAAAAAACCAGAGAAATAGTTGGATTCCACAGTTCCCAGCCTGGGGCACCAAGAAGGAGAGAGGACTATTGGGAGCTCACTGTAGGAGTAAGAGGAACAACCCTCACCAGTCCCATGAATTTTAGGGAATAAACATCGCCAAGGTTTTGGTTTTTGCTTGATTTCTTAATAATAATAACAATAATAATAATAGTTACAAAGCACCGATCAGGCACCATGCTGAGGGCTTTACTTGTATTAACTTATTTAATCCTCACAACCACCCTGTTGGGTTGGGAATATTATGATCCCGCCTTATGGATGAGTAAACTGAAGCACAGAGAAGTTAAGCAACTTGCTCAAAGTCACACAGCAGAGGCAGGATTTGAATCCAAGAAGCTGGCTCCAGAGACTGTGCACTTGGTCACTGTGCTCCCCAGCCTCTAAACTGCTGCCTTCTCTCTGCAGAAAATAAAAAGGGAGACGAGACTTTTCGGCTCAGGATGGAAACAAGGTCAGGGCACCAGGATCTTGAACTGGGCGGGAGGAAGCTCTCACTTTCTGGTATCCAGATTCCTTAGCGGCCTTCCTTGTGTACTGAGTGGACAGTGGGAACCAGCCAAGCTTGCCTCTCCATGTCTGTCCCCCATTCTGTCCCTGCCTCCTGCCATGTCTACATGTCCTCAGATGACCGACAGGCTCTACCTCAGCTGACATGCTCCGTGACTCAGATGCCCGGAGCTGGCTCCAAGCCCTGAAGCTCTCCCCGTGGTTCTCATTTTCTCCAGACACCCCAGCCCCCACCCCAGTCCTGCCCTGTCCATACCTTCCTTGCCCAAGTTTGCTTCAGATAGAAACATTATTGGGCACCTACTCTGTGCCAGGCCCTGTTCTTGGAGCCAAGGACCCAGCTATGAGCAAGGCAGCCTCTCCCTGCCCTGGCGAAGCCCACAGTCTATCAGGAGAGACAGACAATCACCAAATTATCATACAGAACCAATATGAAATGGCAAAGGTGATTTCATGTGGCAAAGGAGAGGTTTACAGAGCCATGGGAGGCAAATCAGAGAATGATCTGGGCCTGGCGTGGTGGCTCGTGCCTGTAATCCCAGCACTTTGGGAAGCCGAGAGGATCACTTGACCCCAGGAGTTTGAGGCCAGCCAGGGCAACACAGCAAGACCTCATCTCTTAAAAATAAATAAATAAATGAATAAATAAATAAATAATAAAAATTTAAAAATTAGCTAGGGGTGGGGGTGCATGTCTATAGTCTCAGCTACTCATGAGCCTGAGACAGGAGGATCACTTGAGCCCAGGAAGCTGAGGCTACAGTGAGCCATGATTGAACCACTGCGCTCCAGCCTGGGTGACCCTGTCTTAAAAAAAAAAAAAGAATGATCTGGTGTGTGGGGTGTAGGTTGGGGAAGGCTTCCCAGAGGGAAGATACATCCCAGAGGGAGTGATACATCAGCTGAGATGGAAAACACGAGAGGTGTTTCAGGATGAAGAGTCAGGAGCGAAGATTCCAGGCTGAGTGAACAGCATGTGCAAAGGCCCGATGGCAGGAGAGGGAACAAGGCTAACCGTGATCAAATGGAGGCCGAGGTGGGAGGAGGTGACGTGGAAGGATGTCAGGATTGAGGCAAGGCATTTGGTCATTGAAGCAAGGAAGCGAGGTAGTCAGATTTCTGCTTGCTAAAACTCTGTGTTTTGAGTGGCAAAGGGGACATGCGGAGACCTGGGAGGAGGCTACTGCACTAGTCCAAGCCAGAGACAATAGCAGTGGAGAGGATGGAGAGAGAGACGGGAGGACAGTGGGGGAAGACTGAGGCTGTGAACTTCCAGGTTCCAGAACAATCGAGAGGCCACAATGACCATCATGGAGGTCTCCCTGCTCACTGGCTTCTACCCCAACCAGGATGACCTCAAACAGGTAACGCAGACCCCACCTACAGGCTTCCTGAGCAACCTTTCCATACTTCCCACATGGATGCAGGGCGGTGTCTACTCAAATCAAGGTTCCTGGGTTACTGCCCCATCTTCACTTCTGGATGACTCCCTGCATGGCCTCAACCAAATCTTTTCCCTGCTTGGGCCTCAGTTTCCTCTACCGTGAGGTTGACTGGACAAAGGCTGGAGCTCTAGGGCTAGGGGCCTTGGAGGCTGTCAGCCACCCTCCAGTCTCCACCCTCTGCCCCAGCTCACGAGTGATGTGGAGAGGTACGCCTTTCAGTACGAAACCAAGACAAGTACCAGCGACAGCACCGTTGTCCTCTACCTGGAAAAGGTGAGAGGGGCTGGGTGCCCTCTGCCAGAGATGTGTGGGCACCCCGGGGGCTGGAGAACCCAAGGTTGGTCCCCTGGGTGGGTTTTGCAGAGAGCCAGGCCCCCTGCGGTCAGCCCCTCCGGTTGCGATTCCTGTGGTCAAGGTCATATGGTCCGTGGTCATGGCCAATGCCAACAGCCAAGGCCTCGTAGTCAGTGCCACGAGGTCAGTGCCCCACGGTCAGTGGCCCTGGCCGGCTCAGACAGGACTCTGTTCTCTCCAGCTCTCCCATGAGAAAAACACAGTGCTGGGCTTTCGGGTTCACAGGATGCTACAGGCGGAGTTCCTGCAGGCCGCCCTGGTCACTATCTACGACTACTACGAGCCTTGTAAGGAGGGGTCCCGTGCATGGGGATGAGGCCTGCAAAGGACAGGGCCAGGTGCCAGGCGATGAGAGACTGGGAATTGCCAAAAGGGGGCTGGGTCTGGGTGGACATAAGGGGCGTGGTCTTATTGGAGTGACCTTCGTGGGCGGGGACAGGAAGGAGACGGGGTGAAGTTGAAAGGGGACTGGGCGTGGCCTGCTGGGAATGGGTGGGGCAGGGGCAGGCTCTTTTGAGTGGGCGTGGCCTGTCGACAGAGGTGGCTGGCCAGGGCCCTTCAAAGTGAGGTTTGCAGTGGGCAGGGCCAGGAAGAGGGGAAGGTCTGGGAGGACCTGGAAAGCACAGCCCAGTGACAAGGAGAGGCAGGAAGGAGCCTGGACTTTGGAGGATGGGGAAGACAAGGCCAGGGCCCAGAGCAGGTGAAGACCAGGCCAGATAGGCACTGAACCCCCAGGAACACTAGCCCAAGACAACGCACCCCCCTCAACCCCTGCACCCTCCATTCACAGCCCGGAGGTGCAGCACTTTCTACAACCTGCCTACAGAGCAATCTTCCCTGCGAAAGATCTGCCACAAAGACGTCTGCAGATGTGCAGAGGGTGAGATGTGCCGAGGGTGAGCCCCATGCCGCCAGGCTGGGGCTGCCAGGTTGTGGGGGGTGGATCCAGGAGCCCTTCAAGCCTCCTCCTGGCTATAGTCTGGCCTGAGTTTAGACAGAAAGAAAAAGAGACAGAGACAAAGAGAGACAGAAAGAAGGCACAGAGAGACAAAGCTTGTCACATACACACTCGCACTGCCAAGGATCAAATGACATGGAGACAGAGAGAAAGACACAAAGAGACGACGACAGGAGAAATAGACAAGAAAGTGACCAAAAAGAGAGACAGACGCTGGGCATGGTGGCTTACGCCTGTAATCCCAGCACTTTGGGAGAGGATGGCTTGAGGCCAGGAGTTCCAGATCAGCCTGCGCAACAGAGTGAGACCTCATCTGTACAAAAAAATTAAAAAAAAAAAAAATTAGGCCGGGCGTGGTGGCTCATGCCTGTAATCCCAGCACTTTGGGGGGCCGAGGCAGGTGGATCACGAGGTCAGGAGATCGAG